AGTTTGAGGTTATGCTGGTCTATACGGCTAATTCCAGAATGTCAGAGATAACACGGAGAAACCCTTTTTTGAAAAACTAAAGGAAAAAAGTTGGGGCCAGTAAGATGTCTTAGTGGGTATAGGCACCTGACAACATGATGAAAGAGTGGGCAGCTTCTATAAGGTGTTCTCTGACCTCCACATGCATGTGGTGGCACACATGCATGCACACCCATGCCTAAATAAATACTTAATTTTTTTCCTCATTATGTCACCCTAGCCGGCCTGGAATGGACAGAGCTCTGCCTGCCTCTGCCTCCCGAGTGCTAACATTAAAGGCGTGTACAGACACACACTGTTTTAACATTTTTTTTTTTTTAAATAAAAGAATACAAGCTGGGTATGATGACACATGCCAACAGTTGTGAGACAGAGGCAGAATAGTCATTAGTTCCAGGTTAGCCTGGGCTACATGGTGGGTTCAGGCCAGCCTAGGCGATATGAGACCCTGTCTTAACATAAAATTGAAGTTTTCAGTTCCTTTGTCTTGCAATTTCTAGTGCTTAGAAGCTGGACAAAACCTTAGTTAACAGTGCAGATACAGCACATGCCCATGACTGTAGCATAGAGCAGGGCTGGCAAGTCTAAGCCTGAGGGCTATAAGTGGACCCCAACCTGGTTTTCTATGATTGAGTTAAAAATGATTTTTACTTTGTTGTTTAGATTTTGAGACAGTATCTTAACTGTATAGACCTGGGTGCCTCAAACTCCCCGCTTTCCTAATGTTTGGATTACACATGGGACCACCACCTAGTTTCTACATTCTTTAAAAGTATTTTCAAAGCAACAAGAAGTTTTCCGTGTTCTTACAGTGTGCTCCACTGTATGCATAGTTATGTTTGCACTCTAGAATAAATAAATTTAAGACAATAGACTCTGTGGTCCAAAAAGCCTTAGGTGAAAACCCTCTGGCCATCCCTGGGCTAGAGCTCAGGCAGCTTCACTGATGTTTTCCCCATCTCTGGGAGTTCCCTCTGTTGCTCCTGGGACAGTGGCCTCTGTTTCCAACCATCCTGGTCCCTAGCACCTGGGACTGTTTGGTCTCCACTACCTGTGGACAAGTCACTGAAGAGCTAAATTAATCCTCTAGAGGCCAGCAAGTTATGCTAATGTCTGGGGAAATAAGGTTTTGTTCTTGTTTTTTTGTTTTTTGTTTTCCCTTTCAGAATTTGCTTTAAACAAGAAGCTTGATTACTTTTGTGTCCACAGTTCTGCTAAGAGTTTATGTTGATGTTCAAAGTTGGGATGCTGTTCTGTTTTGATTCATACCTGCTTTCTGGAACAGTGTTATACCCATAGAGTCCTGGGACCCTGAGTGTGTGAGCCACAGCCCATCAGCAGTTTTGCTTCTGTGTCCTGTTAGAGTTCTGATACTTGAAAAAGACTGTGACTTTTGAGTACCCCTCCTTCCTCTTCAGGCCCTGAATGTTAAGTATCCAGGCCTATGGTTTTAAGTTACTGTGATGGTAGGAGAGATCCATTGTGAAGGTAATATTTGCACATGGGCCTATGACAGCATTATAGATTGTCTACCTCTACCTTGTTTACCCCCTGTTGAAATCTTAGTGGGAGAAGATGGGTACCGTGGGGTCTCTTAGATGGACCTTTTTATAACATAAACTTGAAGTGAATTCTCTGAGAGTCCACCTTAGATGTTTGGCCTTTTCCTTGTGTAGACTACAAATTCAGACTTATCTCCTCTTTCCCTAGGAACCCTTCTCTGAAGCAACAGCTCTTCTCCTACGCGATTCTGGGCTTTGCCCTCTCAGAGGCCATGGGGCTCTTCTGCCTAATGGTGGCCTTTCTCATCCTCTTCGCCATGTGAAGCAGCTGTCTCCACTTCCACCTCCCATAGCTCTTTCATGTCCCGTCTGCCCTGTGTGTTCCTTTTCCTGTACCTCCCCAGGAAGTCTGGGGAAAGTGCTTGGCTCAGGGTTTGACAGAGAGAAGACAAATAAATACTGTATTAATAAGATGTTTCTTGAGTCTCCTGTGTGTATTTCTTTTCCACAGTTGGCTGAGTGCCTTGGTGAGAGAACAAGGCCCAGTGGTAATGGCCTAAACTCTGCAGGGATCTGACGGGCTCATTCTTTTAAGATTTATTTATTTATGTATTTTACGTACATGGGTGTTTTGTCTGTGTGTACATCTGCACACCAGAAGAGGGCAGGAGATCCCATGAGATTACAGTTACAGTCAGTTGTGAACCACCATGTGTGTGCTGGGAATTGATCTCTGGAAGAGCAGCCAGTGATCTTAATTGCTGAGCCATCTCTTCAGTCCTTGGGTTCATTCTTTAATTCTTTGTTTTAGGAAAGTTCTGTTCAAAATAGCTGTGCTTTTCTGGTGTGGAACATTATTTTGCTAGGCAAAGATGTGTTATATTTGTTTATGCTACCGAATATTACTTTAACTGTGTAAAAGTGTGGTACTTTTGTTTATGTTGCATTTGTTTAATTATGAAAAGCTATTTTACCTTGCCTGCTTAAGGCACCTGATTAGTTTAATAAAGAGCTGAACAGCCATAGCTGGGTAGAGAAAGGATAGGTAGGGCTGGCAGGCAGAGGGAATAAACAGGAGAACTCAAGGAGGAGGGAATGAGGGAGGTGCCCAGGCCAGCCAGTGAAGCAGTGAAAGTAAGATACACAGAAGTAAGAAAGTAATAGCCCCTTAGGCAAAAGGTGGATAAAGAGAAACAAGTCAAAAGAGCTAGCCAGGAAGGAGCCTAAGCTAGGCCAAGCATTCAAAATTAGTAAGTTTCTGTATCATGATTTGGGAGCTGGTTGGTGGCCCAAAAGGAAAAAGCCTAGTACATTTTTCAGTAATTATCACATGATATGACCTTCTCACTTTGGAGGATTGGGGTCAGTGCTTAAAATGATTACTAGAGGGTTCGTTACCTGTCAGTACCACAGTCCTGGCTCAGGCTCTCCTTGTCACCTACCTGGTGTAAAGCCTCTTAACTGGTGGCCTGCTTCCAATTTCTTCCAACATTTACTTACACTGACTGCCATGTAGATCTTCCTTTCAGGACAGGACCAATTTTGTCATTTACCAATTCAAAAACCAATTCAAAATTCATATACGTCACATACCCCACTGGCCTGAAACTTTGTAGATTAGGCTAGTCTTAAACTCATAATAATCCTACTTCTGCCTTCTGAGTGCTGGGACGATGGGTGTGATCTACCATCCCCATCCTCTTTTTTTTTTTTTAGTTTAGTTTTTTGCAATGGTGAGTCTTGCCACATTGCCCAAGCTAGCCCTGAACTAGACTCAAGTGTGCTTTAAAATGTCTTCCTGGCCTTCCCACACCTTGCCCTTGCTCTGCTCATCTCTGCTTTTTTGGATCTTTGCACAATTTCCTCTTTTTCAAACTTGCTGTGTTATGAAAGACTTGGCTTGAATGCTCCCTTCTCTATGAAGTTGTTTCCTGTTCCATCTACTCTTAGTCAGATGAGCATGAACCCCTATAAGGGGCTATAGAACACACATATCCCCTTTATAATACTTAGATGTGCTAAGTTGTGGATTTGTGTGCATGTGGACTTTTACCTTACTTATGTGTTCATGCAACACAAGTAATTTTTTAATAGGAATGCTAACCTAGTTGACCACAATGCTTTTACTTTTTAGTCTGGTTTAAAGCCTACAAGCAGAAAGCCAGGTATGGTATTGCAGGTCCATAATCCCAGCACTCAGAAGGTTGAGGTAAGAAAATCAGCAGTTCAAGGCCATCTTCAGCTATGTGGGTGGGGAGTTTCAGGTTAGCCTGAGCTACATAAGACCTGTATCAGAAACTAAGGTGGGCAATCCTTGATGTTGTCTTCTGGCCTCTACATGCGTGTACATACAAGTGTACTCAAAAAGGCCACCAGCAGATCCTTTCCCATCATCCTTGAGTTTGATATTGTGTTCAACAGCTGAGGGGAATCTATCCCAGGATTGGTTCCAAAGGACTACACTGTGCAGATGACTATTTTCTGGGCTATGGACCTGTCTTAGGGATTCTATTGCTGTGATGAGACACCATGACCTTGGCAACTCTCTTTTGTTTGTTTGTTTTTTGTTTTGTTTTGTTTTTCGAGACAGGGTTTCTCTGTGTAGCTTTGGAGTAGTAGTTCCTGTCCTGGAACTCACTCTGTAGCCCAGACTGGCCTCGGAACTCACAGAGATCCATCCGCCTGCCTCCGCCTACCGAGTGCTGGGATTAAAGGCGTGCGCTGCCGCCGCCGCCGTCGCCACCGCCGCCGCCCAGCCCTTGGCAACTCTTATAAAAGAAAACATTTAATTGGATGGATTAGAGTTTCAGAGGTTTGGATCATTATCACCACGGCAGGGAAACATGGTGGCCTGCATACAGGCATAGTGCTGGAGACGGAGCTGAGAGTCCTACATCTTGATTTCAGGCAACAGGAAGTGGACTGACTCACTGGGCATAGTTTAAACATATATGAGACCCCAAAGCCTGCCCCTACAGTGATTCACTTCCTCCAACAAGACCACACCTACTTCAACAAGGCCACACTCCTAATAGTGCCATTGGAGGGGGGGGGGGGTAGCATTTTCTTTCAAACCACTACAGGACCTGACTTTTGTCCAACCAAAAGTTGACCAGTAGTGTCTGCATATTTAGAAGTGAGCAAGAGCCCTCCCTTTGCTCTGGTCCCTGGAATTAGAACCCTGGTGGGAGGAGCTCCTGTCCTACCTTCCCTTTGGGGTCACTGGGTAAATGGTTTTTTTCCCTTCTTGATCCTGGAACTGAGCTGAGCTGACCATTGGGAGAGAGCAAAGCTTTGTGGCCCATGTGTGCTTTTCTAAGGTGAGTGATGATGGTTCTGTAAGATGCCTGGAAGCAGATTTATTCAGAAGGAGTCAAGGCAACGGGGTCCTCTCAGCTGAGGCCCCACGAGATACTGATTGACGCCCCAAGTTGCCAACAACTTGGGGTGAAGGCATGTTGTGCTTAGTGGAGAAACAGATTTAAGAGCAGATTTTCTGAAGATCTTTCCAACCTTGGTTTCTGCTTGGCCTGGTTTTTAAAATCGCCCATGATTTGAAATCAAGAAGCTTCAGAAACTCCGCTTTCTCTGCAACATTAACCAGTTCTAACCAGTAACTTTCCAGGACTCTGTTTTTCCCATCTGTAAACAGGAGTAGCCGTTCTCATCCCGGAAATTATGTAAGGACATATAAAGATACTCAGAGTATTCAGAAAGGACATCATTGTCAAAATACAATATATGTTGATTTTAATTTGTTTTCTCGTTCTTCACGGGCCTCCGTCTATTTAAGCCATTTTCTAGGCAGCTTTCCCTTCTGGTTGGCATAAGGAAGGGAATTTTTAATCTGGCAAAAAAAAGCTCCTGGAGTGAACCCAGAGATGCTGAAGGCAGAGACCTGCTTTCCTGTTCTTAAAGCCTCGTTTTTTCCAAGAGTCAGTTGTGTTTCCTCAGCACCAGGGGAGGAGGATCGTAGTTTTATGCCCTCCTAATTGGAAGTAAATGATGCCCTTTGAAACTCACCTAAATGTTAAGCTGGGTGGTGGTGATGCATGCCTTTAATCCCAGCACTCAGTAGGCAGAGACCAGCAGATCCCTGAGTTTGAGGTCAGCACGGTCTACAGAGTGAGTTCCAGGACAGCAAGGACGACACAGAGAAACCTGTCTCGAAAAAGAGAGAGAGAGAAAGTAAGTAAACCATCCAAATGCTACAAAGCAGTAAGGAGGAGCCCTACCCCACCCCCCACGTCCTCCACCCCCGTCCCAGGGTGGTTTTATTAGCGTAAGACCCTGTCAAGGTAGGCAGCGTGAGAAAACTACCAACCACCACCACTGTGATTTGGCTTGAGGTGATATCTAGGAGGCTAGGGCAGCTGTGTGTGTGACCTTCCACCAGGGAGCTGAGAGGAAGAACATTCTAGTTGAATTCTGTAAGAGGAAAGAACAGCCGTGGTTAGGGAATTTCACTGTTGTAGTCCTCCAAGTTTTGAGCAATAAAACTTTTTATTGAGCCATATCTCAAAATACCTTGCCTTTTCCCAATCTGTGTTCTGAGTACACACCACTGGTCCATCTACCTGGTATTCTCACCATTTGGTAAGAGAAGACTAAAGTCTGAGAAAACCTTTTAGTTTCCAGGCATTCCTTAAAATTTCCTTATTTTTTTGAACATTTATTTCAAAACACGGTGTTTATTAGTACATTGTGATCTAGTGGCCACAAAAGAAATGGCAAAGAGAGAGAATGACCCCTGTGGGAAAGGAAGAAATGGGAATGAAGCATCTCTAACTCACTTTAGAATACTAAGACCAAACAAGTCCTGCCTCATGCCTGGAATTCTAAATGGCTTTTGCCATTTCTTTTCTTTTCTTTTCTTTTTTTTTTTTTTGAGACAGGTTTCTCGGTGCAACAGCCCTACCTGTTCTGGAACTCACTTTGTAGACCAAGCTGGCCAGAACTCACAGAGATCCACCTGCCTCTGCCTCCCGAGTGCTGGGATGAAAGGCGTGCGCCACCACTGTCCTGCTTCTCTCATCTTTTGAATAACTGCTTTGAAGGCGGAAATTTTACATTTTCATTGTGTGGGTGTGCACTTAGGCGCTGCTGTAGCACACGTGTGGAGTCTCTGTTCTCTCCCTCCGCCTTGTTGAGGCAGCGTGTCTCTTGTTGTGCTGCTCTGCTGCACTCCAGTCTGGCTGGCCCTCAAGCTTCCAGGCTGTAGAAGAGCTGGGATTAAAGGTGCACGCTACGACTAGTTTTTTGTTTTGTTTTGCATGCGGTGGTGAGGAAGAAGTGTGTACCATGGTACCGATGTGGGAGTCAGGGGACAACTTGAAGGAGTCGGTTCTCTCTTCCATGTGGTGCCTTAGAATGGAATTTAGGTCATCAAGTTTGTTTGGCAGCAAGCGTCTTTATCCCTGAGCCATCTTCCTGAATCCAGCTGTTCCTCATGGTTTCTGGGGATCAAAGGTGTTCGGTTAACCACTGAGTCATCTTGTGGGCCCTAAGCAAAATTCTTTTAAATGAACCTTTAAAAAGAGCTAAGCCAGGCGTCCTGGCACACACTGGGAGGCTGAAATGGAAGGATCTTGAGTTTGAGGCCTGCCTAGGGTATATAGTAAGACCCTGCTTCAAAAATGGAGCTCTGAGATGGAGTAAGTATACAGTGTATGTAATGTAGGGCCCCTTGTTCCAGTCTCCAGTACCTCAAAATAAGATATGCCCTGCTATAAGACCCGACACTCCCTGGTTAGGGTGCGTGGCACTGTTGACTCAGGTACTGGGAGACTGGATGGGCCACATCCAATGGCATCAGCAGCAGAGAGCTTTCTCATATTGTGAGCGTTAGAGGAAATGAGATTTGAGAACAGATTTAATGGACTGTTGCTGCTTTGTAGCTAGAGAGAGTCATTTGCAAAGATAGAAAGTAGTCTCTGCTTAGACTGACATCCTAACTAGCAGATGGAAGAAGCAGAGAACTCATCTCACAACTTCAAGAAGAGACTCTGTCAACACATCAATCAAATTCCTGCTTCTCAGAATCTCCAGAGAAAGGCCCAGCCCAGACAGCAAGCTGTTGTCCAACTTCATCGGAGCTCAGGAAAGCCGAACAGAAATGACATTTAACCCAGAGGGGCATGCATGCATGCTTCAGAGCCTTTTCATTTGTGTGACATAGGTACTTTTTCTTTGGTGTTTAAGAATCAAGACTTGTCCAGGCTTGATGGCACATGCCTGTCTTTGCATTATACACCTCTGCCTGTAGGAAGTCACTGGAGGCAAGGAAGAGAAGTCTGGGTAGTTTCTGAGGCTTCGCAGTGAAGCGTCTCCTAATCCACTGTCCCCGCTGCTGTCTTGCAAACATTTTCCCTGCTCCTGGGTCCGTTTTACCACACTGATAATTGTCTGGGGGTTCTGAGCAGGCTCAGTGCAGCTGGCACAGCTCTGACCCTGGGATAGATATTTTTAACCGTCGTGGATTATGGCCTTCCAGGAACTGCAAAGCTGCTTTTACAGCAGTCACTCTGCACATCTTGCTGAGGTGGGGGCGGGGCGGGGGGTTGGCTGGAGTGAGGTGTTTGTATACTGTGAAGGGATGGTTTCTGAGCTAGGCCGACCTGTGGCCCCTCTCCACTCCCCATGGCTTCTCTAGCCACATCTCCAACACCTGGAGCAGGAACTTCAAGTTTCCAAAACATAGCTGCAAAGTAACAAACAGCTAGCCCCGCTCCCTTAGCAACAGGGGAGCAGTCAATAGGGATTTGAGAAAGTCTACAGCAGAGGAAGTTTACCCAGTATAAAAGACTCAAGGGCTAGGGGATTTCTCTAGTAGTAGAACGCTTATATAGCATGAACTAGGCCCTGGGTTCAGTCCCCAGAAATGCAGAAAACTAAAACCATAAAAGACTCACACTATTTTCAGAAAATAGCTTGACCCTGTGGAATAGTCTGGATAGAAAGTTCCAGAATCCTGGGTTCAGGTTACTCACTGAGCTTTGGTTAACTTTATGTGCTGCGTGTTCCTTTCCTAGTAAAATGAGATTGCATCTGCCTCCCCGTGATACCACAGAAATAAATGAAATTAGTAGTATTTTCTTAAATCTGTTTTTCATTTTGCTTTGTTTTAATTTTTTGTTCTGGAGCTTGAACCCAGGGCATCCCCATGCTAAGCATATGTCCTACCGCTGAGCTACAGCCCCAGCACAAATTTAGGTTTTAAAATGACTTGTTGGAAAGCTAGACTGTAAATTCTCTCTCTCTGCTGTTTCTTAGTTACCAATTTACCAAGAGTAACTTAACACTAGGATTCTCTGCCAGTACTAAAATTAGACTCTAGCACTCCTCTTTTCCCTTCTTGCTTTTGTTTAGGGGATGTGGGAGAGACATCTGCCCTCCCAGATCTAGTTAGTAATACGCTGCAGACCAAAGAAAACGTTCTAGAAAACACTTTATCCAACCTGCAATCATCTTTTCAAAATAATCCAAATCTGCCCTGGGTTTTGATGATTTGACCTCTTGTAGAAATGTGCCTGAGAAAGCCTAGGGAATGGAAGAGGATGGAATCAAGAGAATCTGAATGCCGGGAAGGAAGCTGGGCTTCTGAGTCCTCCGACTTCCCCCACCCCCTTTCCCAGCCAGATAAGAAAGGCTTTCTGCTACTAGAACTGAACTCCCCATCATATCATAAAAGGCCTAGAGTTATTCCTGAGCCTGCTGACATCTCTAGGGGTGGGAAGGTCAAGTGTGGGCACTTTTCCTGTCCAGGGACACGGGAATAAGGAACAGGCAGGGAGGAACTCAATCTTTTCCAGCTGCAACTTAGAGAGAAAAGGAACAAATTCTTCACCAGGGAAGATTGTGTAAACAGCGTCTTTGGCTGCAGCCATAGCACTGGGGAAGAAAAGAAAGAGATCTTTGTTCTCCCCTACCCCAGGCGGAGCACAATCGGAGAGCTGGGATTGTTTGCTTTGGCAAGGGACTCCCTGCCTGGAAGGACTGGTGAGGCCTCGGTCGGGTTTCCTTGTGGTCCTGGGAAGAAGACAATCCCCGATTTAAAGCCTCTACCTAAGGAAGTAGCTGGGGAGAGGCCCGCCGGAGGCTTCTGGCACATTCTCCAGCTTTGTCCACTGCCGTCTTTCTGACCCTCCTCCCAGTACAGTGTGTTAGTGTAGTTGACTTCCATCTTCCTGTCTTTGAGGGTGCTTTTGGTTCTTTTACTAATGTTCAATCCCAAAAGAAATTATGTCTTTGCTGGGCATGGTGGCTGCAATCCCAGCTTTTAGGAGGCAGAAGCAAGAAGATCAGAGGTTCAAGGCCAGGCCTGGCTGCCTAGAGAGTTTGAAGCCAGCCTAGCTGCAAGAGACCCTGCCTCAAACATCACCACCTCACTACTGCCTCCCCACCCCCAAAAACAACACTAACTGTTGATAGAGCAAATGATGCCAGGGTTCCCCTAAGGAGTCTACCAATAAAAGGGGATTCTAGGCTGATCGTGGTGTCGCACAACTAGAATCCTAGCACTAGAGGTAGAGACAGGAGGAAGAGGAGTTCACATTGTGAATGTGAGGCCAGCCTGGACTCCATGAGACCATGACACAAAAAAACTAAAAATGAAAGAGGGGGATTCCTGGGTCATCTTGTCCACCCTGTGATTTCTAGGTGCCATCACCCTTGACACTGGCAGTTGCAGTAGTAGGTCTACGTCTTCGTCTGGCATAGATCATTCCCGAGTGCTTATCTAGGTACACTTACATTTGGAGGCACAAAGGGTTAATACGTCAACATATGAGTTGTGAAGTGTGTGCAGGTCAATCCATGATGAGTGGTAATCTGCTATGAGAAGGTCTAAGCTTAGCTGAATCCACTGTACTCCACCGTCTCCTAAAACCAGACAGTTATGCAGGGTCTTCTGACTTCTAAGGCCTCCCTTCTTCAATCCACACTCCATATTACTGCTTCTAATTATCTTTGGAAACATGAACTTGATCAATTACCCTCCTACTGAAAAATCATTTAATGAGTTCCAGTGACAAAATAGACTACAAAGTCCAGGTACCTCTTAGCGGGAAATAGTGGTATTCCAAGGGATTTCTGTTGTGGATATTGCTCTATATAAATAAAACACTGATGGCCAGTGACCAGGCAGGAAGTAGGTTGCCAGGCAGGAAGTAGGTGGGACAAGGAGAGAGGAGAATTCTGGGAAGTGGAAGGCTGAGGAGAGAGACACTGCAGCCACCGCCAGGAGAAGCAGCATGTAAGACGCCGGTAAGCCACCAGCCACGTGGCAAGGTATAGATTTATAGAAATGGGTTAATTTAAGATATAAGAACAGTTAGCAAGAAGCCTGCCACGGCTATACAGTTTATAAGTGATATAAGTGTCTGAGTGATTATTTTATACGTGGATTGTGGGACTGCGGGGTTTGGTGG